AAGACCACCTCACAGCCATCCCCCCCCCCCGGAGAATATAAAGGAATTTGGCCTTTAGAGATAAGAACTCCCTGCACAATTTATTCATTTGTTCTTTAGTTTGTTTGTTCTTCCCTCTTTCTGTCTGTCTGTCTGTCTGTCGTTTATCTGTCTATCATCTATCTGTCTGTCTGTCTATCCCTAAGGTGAACTGTACTTTGACATTTAGGGGGGGCAGTTTGCCGGTGGGGGTGGAGGGGAAGGAGAGGCAGTTTGAGGGTGGTCAGATGGGAATCTTCCAGGGCGAAGGAGAACTGGGCCCCTGCATGGGAGAATGGCACCCCGCCATTAACTATTCCTGTTCCTCACGAGCGCCTCCGGTCTTCTTCTTTGCTTGTGATCTCTCTCGAGGAACGTGGATCCTGCCTTGCCCAGCAGGAGGCACTTAGGAGGGGCCGATACGGAGACCCCCCCCCTCGCTTTGATTCCTGGGTGGGGGAGTGGGAATCCCGAAGGGAGAAGATGGGGCTGCATCGGTGGGTTGCAGCTCCCAACTGAAGGGCTTCCCCGTCTTTTCCTGCAGGTCCCTCCCTCAGAAGTGGTGGCGGCGGAAGTGGGTGGAGGAATTCTACCCCGCCGTCTTCCTGGGCGACCCCAACCTCGATGCCCTTTTAGCCCAGCATGGGCTTAAGGTGAGGAGGAGCTATGGGGAGGGGGAGGGCTGTGTGTGTAAGAGTGAGAGTGAGTGGCAGATTTTCATGGGGTCCCTCCCTGCTGTATTCATTCGTTCATTCGTTCGTTCGTTCGTTCATTCATTCATATTATTTATATGCCATCTTTCTCCCCTCAGGCAACCCAAGGCAGCGCACAACAGATTAAAATAATATATTTAAAAACACAATATAAATATCATATTTAAAAAAAAAAACAATTCATTTGGTATAATTTATACTCCACCTTTCTTCCAGTCAGAGGACTCAAGATAGCCCCTGATATTAAAATGAAACACAAGAAGTTGCCAATTAGAAAGCCATTAAAATGAAATAGTAATTAAAATTGGTTAAGTATTAATGTTTAAAAGCAACTTATAAAAGCAAAGAGCAGCGTGCAAAGACTCAGTCATGAATATTAAAATGCTGCCTGAAAAGATGGGTCTTCAGCTGTCGGTGGAAGGATGAAAAGGGAAGGGGGGCCAACCCATAACCCGGGAGTGGCCCCTGAAAAGGCCCCTCTCCCTCATGTCGTCCCCCCAGCCGTGGTGCCTGCGCTGCCCATGGGACCCAGAGGAGGGTCTCTGTTGATGACCTTAAGTGCTGAAAAGGCTCATGGGGGAGAGACAGTCCTTTGGATCGTCTGGACCTAATAAGCTATAGAGGGTTTTACAGTGGTGCCTATCTTGACGAGGATAATCTGTTCCAGCGAAATCGCTGTAGAGCGAAATCGTTGTCAAGCGAGGAAAAAAAAACCATTGATATGCATTGAAAACCAGTTCAGTGCATTCCAATGGGCGAAATACCTCAGCATCCAGCGAAGATCCTCCATAGGGTGGCCATTTTCTGATCCCTGTTAAGTGAAAAATCCGTCCTCAAAACAGCGGGGAGCCAATCTGCACAGCGGGTGGCCATTTTGAAACCCGACTATCAGCTGTTTTTAGATCGTCGTAATGCGAAGAATTGGTTCCCGAAGCAGGGAACTGATCATCGTCAAATGAAAATCACCCTTTGAAACATTGTCATGAAGCAATTTCATCGTTTAACGAGGTAATCGTAAAGCGGGGCACCACTGTATAGGTAATAACCAGCAGTCACCAGCAGTCTGAATTACACCCAAAAACGGACTGGCAGCTATTGGAACAGGGGGATAACATGCTCCCTATCACCGGCCCCAGCCAGGAGTCTGGTTGCTGCTTTTTGAACCGGCCAAAGTTTTGTGACCCTTTCCAGAGTCAGCTCCACGCAGAGTGTCTTACAGTAATCCAGCTGGGATGTAACTCAGGCATGGGTCACTGTGTAGCCAAACCAGACCTCTCCAGGAACGGGCGCAGCTGGCACACCAGTTTGTAACTGTGCCAAGGCACTCCTGGCCACGGCCGAAGCCTGGGCATCTGGGCTCAGGGATGGACAGAGGGAGCCGCAGACATGAGGGTTCAAGGGTGGCAGAGGGCTCCTCTCAGCCCGAAGCACTCCTGGGGTCCGGACAGGGTGTCTCACAATGTTCTCTTGCCTCTCCCTGGTATAGGATCAAGCGCCCCCGACGCGGCCCTC